ATCGGGATAAAATATAGCCTATGTCACTCGGACAAAATGTATTAAATCTAAATAAAGAAAGATGTTATAATAAATAATGTAGCTACCTTATGATGAATTAATATTTGAAACCGGTTCAGTAGTTTGACAGATTATTTGTTACAAACATACAAATCTTGCCTCTTTATAATATTAGTAAGATTTAAAAATAAAGTAAGTAATAGGTTTATTTGATTATATTTGTAAAAGTTACTTAGCATTTGTGCTTAACAGTGATACGTTATTCGGTATTTTTATAACAAAAAAAAAATTTGGAAAATAATTGCCATGATTGCACTACTGGGAGTACTCTTCATTCGAGCTTTACACTACCAATAAATAAGGGTCGAACACAAAGTCTTTGGCCTGTTAAATGTGAACGCTTTAAAAGAAAACTACAAAGAGAACTATAAATTGATAATAAATGAGATTGCTATGGTGCTCTACCTAACGTTATGAAAATTTTATTATGCGCCTTTAGTTTAATCAAATATTATAAACTTTGCTTTGGTGATTGCATAATTATTTAATTTAGTGATCTAAGGCATTTGCCAATATTGTCCAAAACAACAGACGGCAATTACTTCTTTCTTCAACCTGCGACATAAACGTCATTGATTGGTATTGTATATAGGATGATTAAAAACATTTGAAGTCAACTTCTGGCATCTACATAGGGTTTCTGTGAATTATGTAGGTATATCAAATTATGTGACTAGGGACTGACACTGAATTTGTGTATATCACAATCTTAGATGTCCGGCATTGACATGACAATGCAGCCACTGCCAATTTTAAATAGTCGACGAATAAAAGTAAATGAATTTTATATTTACTGCTAAACTATTAAAAAAAAACATAAACAAAAGATGACTTTTTGAGTAAGTGCTAGTTTACGATAAAATTTACATACATTAGAGATATTTATGTAACGACTTGATTTAACTTCACACATTTTTGCGAAAATTGGGGCCCGTCTGTAGCCTTGACCCCGCTGGTAAAGTCTTTATATGTCTTAATAAATCAATCTTTTAGACCGACGCAAGATACTCAATAATTCCCGCGATATTAATTCCCTTACTGAAGTAACAAGACTACGGTATATACCGTCTTAAAATACTAACTAAAAAGTGTGAAATAAAAAAGGTAAATTTAAAAAATCAAAAAACCCGACTGCTTACTTATTCTTCAAATAAAAACTGAAAAGAAAAAAACAAGTCCAGTAGTCTATAATTCTGTTAATAAGGAACAAAGCTACTTTAACAGTCGGGACCCACTGTTGAAAAATATTATATATTCTTGAATATCTAATGGGTCCCGACTGTTAAAGTAGCTTTGTTACTTATTAACAGAATTATAGACTACTGGACTTGTTTTTTTCTTTTCAGTTTTTATTTGAAGAATAAGTAAGCAGTCGGGTTTTTTGATTTTTTAAATTTACCTTTTTTATTGATTTCATGAATGAAGTTTTCAGGGTTAATTTGTGCATTTATTATTATGTTAATGATCTGTATGTTTTCACAGTGTGGCTCTCCTTTCACTCCACTCGACACATCCAACCCCGATTTCCCGAAGAATAACATCAAGTAGTACCTTCCCTTCCTCCCAGCGAGCTTTCACCCCACATCCCAAAGCCATACTTGTTTTTGAATAAAATATCAAAATAAGCATTTGTTTTTTATATTTCCAGCTGTTTTATAAAATAAATTTCCTTAATAAACCATTTACATTGATTGACAAAAATCTGGCATGCCAACGAGATCGGCGCCACCTACTGTAGGTGGCGCCGATCTCGTTGGCATGCCAGATTTTTTCATTGTCCAGTCGTATTAGTAACTGGCGCCGTTCTTAGGCTCCTAAAATAGGGCTAATTGTCTTACTAATGGTATGATAAACATATCTCTTTCACCTACTATGAAATAAAGGCATTGCGGAAAACTATATATCACTGGATTCAGCTACTGTACTATATCGATTTAAATATGACATGAAGTGCGGACAGGCTTGAAAAATATGTACATACACATTTATGGGTTCAATTTGCACGCATTACTTCTAAAATCATAATGACAGTGACTATTATCCCTGGAACCAATATTAATCAGACATATCTCAATTTACATTATGTATTGCAGGTGTAATAAACACGATGTGACTGTTGGTGTAAATAGGCCTTATTTATGTGTTGATTATTTAAACAAAAAAAATCTTTCAAGACTGGCAAAATGCATCAGAATCTTGCCATCATCGTCAACAACATCGCGTTTTGAATCCACTGCTGCCAGGGGCATATTATAAGCTAGACAAGGTCATTTAGGAGAACGGGTCGTCACTGTAAGCCATCACGTGGACTTGGAGCCAAGGGTGTCTTTAACCCATGTAGTGCCCGTGTGCAATCATTACCCCAGCAACCTCAAGTAAGTGTGCGGTCAAAATGGAATGATTGAGTAAGGCGCTAGGCGCTTCTTAGACTGCTGATGCGCCCATGTGTAACCCACCCAGCTCAATAGGTAAAGCCAAAGTACCTACTGTAAAGTGGAACTCTCCGTCCGTTAATTGAAAGTTTTGTAGTATTTTATATAATACTAGCTGACCCAGCGTACTTCGTATTGCTTACAATAATTTGGAAGAAATGATAAACGACGAACTTCAAATGTTTGACAGGAATATACACATAGCCATCTGTCGGATCCAATGTAAAACATTCCAAAATCAACAACTACTAATAAATTAAAAATTAATTAAAAAAACATTGTCCAGCGGACAAAATTGTGAATCTAAACCATTCTCAGATCCCCTTGAACACACACAAAAAATTTCATCAAAATCGGTCCAGTCGTTTAAGAGAAGTTCAGTGACATACACACTCACAGAAGAATTATATATATAAAGATTCGGTTAAAGGGCTACACATAATAAGCCACTGTTTGGTTTTCATTGGAACGGAAATATTTGAATGTTCTTCAACTATGGTGGAGGGGTGTTATAGTAGAAACACGTATTTAGGTATATGGTAGGTATATTCCTGGGACGGAACGATATTTCATCACAATACAATAAATGATAATATCAGATGTTTTATTGACTTGTGAAACTATTACTCAATAGGGATGATGACTATTTTTTTTTCTTCGTTTATCAGGTAGATTATCAAAAAGTATTAGACACGTATTTTTTCTTTTTTCACATAATATAAACATTGCAGAGATATATTGATTTGAAAAGTCGCATGACGTCACGTTTGAGTACACTTATAAGTGAAAATTCACTCAAAAGTGACGTCACGAGCCCCTACTCCCAAACTTTGACGCGCTATAACTTTGTCATTTTTTGGTTGATTGCCCAAAGAAAAAATACGTGTCCATTATTTTTTGATAATCTAACTGACGGACTAAATAGAATTTCGTTTACTGTACCGCGTCATCACCCCTATTGAACTGTAATTACAACAACAGTTATCTGTAAAAGGACTTCCTTTTGTTTTTTTTCTTAGACTGTGAAACATTATTATTGAGGTGGTTATATTAATGGATGTAGAAATGAAGAAATTAAAATATTCTATCGTCTTCTCTTAATTAAAGTTATTATAATTAGTATAATTACATATTTAAATTAGGGCGTGTGTATACATTCAGACTTTATGTCACGAGAAGTTCCATGTGTGTTTAACCATATCTGAAGCTTTTTCGCCTATCATAACCGCTGGTGCATGTGTGTGAGCGGAAATTGTTCTGGGTATTACGCTCGAGTCAACTACCCGCAGATTTTGAACACCATAGACTTGTAGCTCCGGGTCCACTACGGCCTGTGGATCTCCAGGTGGTCCCATACGACATGTTGCTACTTGGTGGTGTAGAGTCGCAGTTAATGTCCTCACCGCACACTCCCAATAAGCATCAGAATCAAAGACAGTGTCACGACATTTCGGGAAATCGGCTTTGTGTATCTCTGCACCGAACCTTTGAAATGGTTCTGTTGCCGTTAGCGCTTGTATAAATCGAATCGATGCTACGAAAGTAGCCACATCGTGTGGATCAGTTAAGTAATTCCCATACATACGGGGATGGCTGAAAGGATTCGTGTCTCTCAATTCTATATAACCAAAGGATTTTGGGTGCAGTAACATGGGAAATGCGCTCCAAGTTTCTGTATTATCTATCGCTCCGAAGGCTTGATTAAAAACCAAGTCGGAAATTCTCATGCCTCTACGCACTGCTCGACTGCCACCGGATCCGCCGTCGACAACTATAGAACCACCAATACTAATCAATTCAATATCTGGTACTGGCTCTGGATCATTGGAGAGGGTAGTTTTGATATATCCAATTCCTTCCACTCCTCCCGGAGAGGATAGGTCGCTGTAGCCATTCCGTAACCAATCTAAAAAGTTTTTGAAATTCAAAGCTCTGCCTTCGTTGAAACTCACACGGGTAGTGTTCAAAGTAAAAATAGTAGCCGGGAAACATATATGGTCGTACAGAGTCTTTCCAACCGGGAGATCACTAATTACTGGAATTCCCAAAGAGGTTAGATGATCTTTTGGCCCAACACCTGATAACATCAAGAGCTGCGGTGAAGCGATAGGTCCTGCTGATAGTATAACTTCTTTGCGTACACGGGAAGTATAGTTAACACCTTTGTGAATAAATTCAACTCCATAGGCAGATTTCGATTGGGGATCAATTAGAACTTTTGTAGCTGTAGATGAAGACATAATATGCAGATTTCGCCTCTTCTTATGGGGATGTAAAAATACTTTGGCAGCACTTTGACGATGACCTTTTTCAATAGTAGTTTGTACAAATCCAAATCCGAGATCATTAGGCGAGTTGTAGTCTACTGTTGGGTGTCCTAATATTCTTCCTGCTTCTAAAAACGCTTTTATAAGTTTGGTTCTGAAAATTTCGTGACAATATGAATTACTGGTTTGTGGTTTGAAATATAATTCATTGTTGTTACTATGCAATTTTATGAGCTCTTACCTCTTTGGAACAAACTCCACGGGCATATCTCCTTCTTTATTTCTATAGGATTGGTTCTCTAAACCTTCCAGATCAGCTCTCTCAGATTTTTTGTAATATTTGAGAACATCATTATAAGACCTGAAATAACAAGTATTCATTAATTAATTACTTGCTACGTTGCTATTGTTATTGCTAAAGGTAATCAAGGGTTGATCTCAGGTTGTCTAGATCGCAGTGTGATTCACGCCCATTAATGACTATATCGCAAAATGACTCCACAGCGTTTCATCTAGATCTTTAATTGACTACATCGCTTAATGCCTAAGATCGCAAAATGACTAGATCTTTATTATTTAGACTACATCAAATAATGACTAGATCGTAAAAAGTCTCCATCTTTATTTCACCACTCCTCACAATGACTAGGTCGCAAAATGACTAGATTGGTTGATTGACTACATGTACAGTTAAGTATAAAACCTCTATAATAAAAATAATTTCTGTATCCCACTGAACCGAATAGATAGACAGTTAAAATTCTCCACACAGATGATGTAACAAGAAACACTAAAAATTTTTAAGGGGGCTTCCATAGAACAAACTTGTTTTTCGCCATTTTTGCTCTATATTAATATAGAGCAAAAATATATTAATGTATTGTTCGCACCTCTGGGATGGCTCCGCTAAGTACTTACTTACTCGATGCCTTGGATAGGTTGCAGCGGCGCGCTGCCCGTATCATTGGCGATGAAGAGGTATCTAAGAAACTCGAGTTTTTACAATTACGCCGCGATGTGGCATCATTAAGCTCATTCTACCGACTATACCACGGCGAGTGTTCTGAGGAGTTATTCTCCCTTATCCCTCCATCACCTTTTCTTCAGAGGACGACGCGCGCTGGCCTACGTTGCCTCCGTCTTACTGTGGCCATTATTCCTACACGAACAAAGAAATTTGGTGACTCATTTCTTTGTCGTACTATTCTTTAAGTGGAATTCTTTACCCGCGCACGTGTTCCCTCCTTCCTATAATCTGGGGTCCGTTAAGAGAGGCGTGAAGAAGCATTTTTGCAGGCAGGCAGTTTATAACTGCTGTACCACCTATCTTCGCGTTTGAACTGTATCACCACTTTATAGGTGGGTTAGAGTCATTTGCCTACCTCACTACAAAAATAATAGCAATACGGCTCTATACTTCCATAGCTAAAAGGGTTTAGAATCATCAGTCAAGATATCATCATAATTAACATATCCCCAGTATTTACCTTTTTTTAAATCATATCTTAATTTAGATCGTATGGACATCGCATCGAATATTAACGCCTCATTATTATGTCATTTTCACTCGATTTTATTTTTATGGACCGACTCGATAATTTTACTCTAAAGGGAGTTAAAAAAAACACAGTGTGAACCGCAAAGGCGAAACGCACAACTCGAAGGTTCGTTCGTAGGACGCAACGCGTTGATTTTTCTCAAGAAAATATTACTAGAAAATTCCATCAAAAAAATACTACTAGAATAATTTAAACATCTAGGGTTAAATCCTTAAAAAATAGAAATATAACTTCCATTGCTATTTCTCCTTTCAAATCTATACTAATATTTTAAAGGGGAAAGATTTGTGTGTATGTTTATAACGCATTGGCTCAAAAAGTACTGGACCAATTTTAAAAGTTCTTTTTATCTTTTGAATGCTACATTATCACTGATTAATATAGGCTATAATGTATTTTCAAAAAAGTTGGGTTCCCCATGAAAACTTCGATTATGTAACCCAACGTGTGTAAAAAATACGAAAAAAGCCTTACCAAATGTAATTGTATCAAATAAAACGTATCGTGTTAAGGGTTTATGTAGACAATAAGGCACATCCGTAGAAATAAATCCTTTCTTTTATAAAATTAATAAAAAATAGAACTGACTTCATAAAAACTGATAATGAAAAAAAAAATTACCGACTGATATATTTTAAGTCGATACCATTATCATGATCTCCCTGCTAAATACATGGCTTGGTAGGTATGAACTTCTAATATATAAGTCGTCTTATTTATTCTAATATTTATTAAAAAAGATTTAATTTTTCCATTTTTAGTGTAATTTAGAATACGATACCTATTCCAATCGATCTACGCGGGTGAAAACGTGGGTTACTGCTAGTATATTATATTTTTAAACCTTTCCTGATAAATACGCATTTATATACCGAAAAACCCTTCCAAATTGAATCAAAGGGTTTCGAGATAATCATGGACAAACATACAAAAATACATTTTAAACTGAGAACATGTTTTTTTGAAGTTTGTTAAAAAAAATAAAAATATCTGTAAATCTAACCATCCATAATTGCCGTCTGCAGCGATCCTATCCCAGTCTTGTGGTCTTCCCCGAGTGTAAATCATATAGTTGATGACACTGGTGCCTCCCACGGCTTTTCCCCTTGGCCAGAAGCAACGTTCATTTATCATGCCTGAAATGATCCACAAACACGTTCTGAAAAACAGTTTTTATTATTCTAAACAAAACTGATTTAGGAATAAATATCAAGAAAAATCGAGAGTGAACTAGTCTCCTTAGAAAAAGTGGTTTCCCATAGAAACTCCCACCCCCCTTTTCGCCCCCTAAAAAGGATGATTCTTGGGGGAAAAAACTCATATGGCCTTTCCCGGGACTAAAACTACTTCTATATTATATTTCATCTAAATCGGTTCAGCGGCTTAGCGTGAAGAGGTAACAGTGAGACAGGCAGACGTAAAGACTCATTTTTGCATTTTTAATATAAGTATTGATTTGCCAAATGGGAAATCGTTTGTGGAAGTCAAAAGCATTCAGTTATTAGTAAAACATAAGTCATCATGAGTTTTTGTAACTGATCCAAAATCAAACAAGTCCCTGACAATTCAACTAAAGATAACAATGGCTTATGTTTGATTGGTTTGCGATATAAGGTAGCGTACCCATTATATTTAAAGGAGCTCTTTCAATAAATGGTAACGATAGGACGTGGTTAAAATAGCCAATATGTGGCAATCAAAGCACATTGGTGTGTACAGTCAGCAACATTATTTTTCTTACAAGTAATAGATCATAATGATCTTGTTTGAACAGACCCTTACTTAGAAATGCTGCATAAGTGGGACCGGTACAGTTCATTTCTTTTCTATATTCTTGCAGCACAGCTGTCTAACCATCTGCTCTTTTTAATAATTCTCTAATATAATGTGTATAGCTTTAAACTTGAAACAAAGGTTTTTTTTCCAAGACATTACCTACACTATTTTGAATTGTAAGCAAGGTCAAGATATGTAGCTGGAAGACATAGCATTATTTAAGGCGGCCATGAGACGCTCATGGCAACTTTAGTCAATTACATCAGTCATTAATGATAAAAAGCCATCTCACCATGGCCAAGAGGTCCACTCCTGCGGCTCTCGAAGACCGCTATATCATAGCTAAAAGGAAAAAAAGAAAGTTCGCTCGGGAAAGTTCGTTCCAGATCTTGTTGGAACGCAAGAAAAAGGAACGTGGGGGTGAAACTTCTTTCTGTGGCGTTTGGTGCGGTAAACTTAGCCGCTAGCACCAGATAAAATGATTCATCGGAAAACTCCATTGTATACTACCGTCCGTATTATACTACCGTCTAATGGCCGCTTAAGCATTTTGTTTTTGAGCTTGCTCCTAGCTTGTCCTAAGTCTGTACCTTGGGCACGCCACTGGTCCCCTGACCGCTGATTAGGTACACTTTATAATATGTATTTGCCAGTTTTTATAATATTTATTTCCAAGTTTAAACATTGCTAAGCAATAATAACGAATACAAGAAAATAACAAATGAGTAAATTACCAAAACCTAGATCCAAAAACAAACGCCTCAGTCTAACATCATCCATATTAATTTGTTGTTGACTGTAGCTACCTGCTTTGCAAACAAACAATAATAAACAATGTTTTATTTTCTGATTCCCTATTAAATAATTGGCATGTTTCTTACGTAATGTACCTACTACCCATTTGATTTGACAGCTTGTTTTTAGGCTTCGTTACCCAAAGGGTATAAACGAAACTCTATTGCTGTCACTTGTCATCCGTCTGTCTGTCTGAATATCACGGGTCTCTAGATTGTAAACGGAATGAGTTACAGAACTGAAATACTGTTATTTTATGTAGAATGCTTGTCAAAAGCCGAATATTTGAAAACCCAGAGCAAATAACACAGATTGGATCACTTTGGAATTAAAATAGATTTGAACCATTCAAAACAGAATGTGTAATAAATAACAATGATACTTTTAGTCGATGTTTTTAATTTACAGCCGAGATAAAACAGTTTTGCGCCGATCCTGAGTTATTTGTAACCGACTTGACCGGTATGTTTCTTGAATAACGCTTTTCAAATATTGAAAAAAAAATGCTCACCAGTACAAACTCCAGGTTGATGCTCCATATAGTACTGCCAAGTGTAATCCGTGGATTGGAAATAGGGTGCCATAGCAGGGATGTCTGTGAGTAACATTTCTGGCTTGCCTGCTTCTATGAGCAAAACAGTGATATTTCTGTTTTCGGTCAGTCGCGAAGCTAAAACGCTGCCTGCTGATCCCGCACCGACTATGATAAAATCATATTCGGGCAGAGGAGATTTGAGACCTGGAAATGAACGAAGGAAACAAACAATAGAATCATAGCTTTAACAGTGTTTACTCGACGTTCTGAAACAAAAAAATTTTAGCCTGTAGTAGCCGCCTTTAAACTCTCTCAAGGAAATCTTTGTCCTTTGCAGAGTCAATCAAAAGGTTAGAATAGAATTATGACAAACGAACTACTTTAATTATGTGCTTAGATGTTTTTGAAAAAACATGTATTTCGTATAAGCAAAAGAAAAACAGATGTATCTCGCAGTTTTTTTGGTCTGAATATGTATTTGAATATGAAATAGGAAGACGGAGAAAAAGCTCATCTCATATAAACAATGTTTGTCCTACTGCTTAGATCTCTTTAACTACGCAACGGTTTTTAATGCAGTTTTCAGCAATAGACAATGATTTAAGGTAGGTATAATACATGCCGAAAAAACACTATAGTCCCCACTGAAGCGAAGCGAGGGCGGGCCACTACTTTCGATATAATAACGCTTTTTACAGTTGCTCTGTTGGTGTTTATCTCGTCAAACAAGTTGATGTTTTTTTGGTTCGGTCGCATCGCCAGAATTAAATCTGCCGTTGTCGTTAATGCTAAAGTTTTATTTAGCGGTGAACGGGAATCTATTTTTGCGTTCTTTTTTATTTTTTTTTTAAAGTCAACCTTTATATCATTATGATAGCCAATAAATCTTGATGCTTTTTTAACTTGAGATTTTTTTTTATGTACAAGATTTGAGTTGCGTTTTATCACAATCGCACCTGTACCCTTAGTACGAGTTTGAGCTCACGAAAACTATCATAGTTTTCGTAATTGAAAAATTATGTTTCTATGTTCATTTTGGTGAAAATTAACCAAATATACTTAAAATTTAAGAAGACGCAAATTATTTAATGATAGAATTTAAACACTGTTTATTTGTATTGAGACGAAAACAATAAAATCAGTACCCGTACGAGTGCGAGCTCACGAAAACTATCATAGTTTTCGTAAATTGTAAAACTCGTACTAAGGGTACTGATGTTCAGCAACGATGTGGTCTAAGCTGGAGCACGCAAACACAAATAATGCCTATTTACTCTTGGATTGAAGGTCCCTATATTATATGTATCGGAGAATACAGACGCAGGAAGGGAATTCCATTCCCTTGCAGTTGCCATGATAAAGGAGGATGTGAATCGTTAGGCGCAGGGTAGGTATGTCAAACACGAACAGATGAAGATTCTGATATTTATTAAGTGTTTTAGTTTTACTTTGTAGGTAATCTTTACTTTTCTGCTTCTAACAAACACCTATCAGTGCTTTTTGCTGGACTTAAATGTATTAAATTCAATTAAAATAAGCCCAAAGTTCTAGGTATGATTCCGGTTTGAGGTCTTAATTTGGTATCAGAAAAAAACATACTCATTATTATTATTATTTCATATGACCTCCGTGGCTGAGTGGTTTGTACGCTGGGTTTCATGGTGTCCCTGACTCGAGAGGTTCCGGGTTCGAATCCCGATGGGGGCAGATGTTTGTGTGATGAATACGAGCATTTGTACTCCAGTAATGTATGTTTAATGTGTATTTCTATATAAATATACTTATATATGTACTGTATATGTATTCTATCCGTTACCCTAGTATCCCATAACACAAGCCTAACAGTGCTTACTTTGGGGCTAGGCTAATTGGTGTGAGTGTCTGAAATATTTATTATTATTATGATATGTCTAAATTTAAATAAAATAAAAACTACCTTAAAAAGTAAAAAATTGAGCATGTATGATTCAAAAAGTCTATAATTCAATTTACTTCAAAGTTAAGGTATAGTAGACGCATTAGAGTCATGAAACTTACCGCCCGGTAACTCATAAGAATCCCTCATAAAATCGAAGAGGTCTTCTGTCCCTTTCAAATTTCCATATTTACTCGTCTGCTTTACTATGTCTATTAATGGGTGGTATGACCACAAAAGTTTTCCTTTTCTGTCATTGTCCTCCGGCTCAATTTCCACGGTAACTTCAGGATCTTCGTCACCTGCTTCTGTTTCTTGACAATACAATGTTCCAGTCCCAAGAAATAAAATTAAAAACATAAATTCTATTTTGAACATTGTATCACTTAGTTGAAAATTTATTTTTATGCGAGCAGTAACGGCCTGGCTGACTGGCTGCCTCTTTGGGCGTCTAAAGTTATATGAGTCAAGTACGAAGTATTAAAGATTCTTGTCTCGGTGTCATGAACTCGGAACAAGTCCTCGGAATCCGTTTTAAATATAGCATGGCCATAATTAACTAGTTTGGCCATAAATACTGTTACTTAAAAGCTTTTCTTTTTTTCAACTTTTAATTATTTTGAATTCGTAACACATATTCTATTTTAATAACTTCTTTCGATTTTGCGCCATTTCACATATTTTTTCGTGTTCATTATCAAATTACAATATGGAATGGGGTGTTAAAGAAAATTGAAGAATTTCAGTGATCGCCTTGCACAGAGTGGGTATGGAGCCGTCGGTCATACTCATACGGCCTTCAAAAGCTTGGTATCAGCCCTATGTTCGTATATCTTACTATCAACAGATACAACAACACTTCGTCTGTCGAAGACCAGAATAGATCGGGGCGGCTGCGTGCTGTTAGAACTTTGTAGTTCGTAGGCCGTTAATGCTGTTAAAGCCAGAATTCATCGATATCCCATTAGGAAGCAAAAAATCTTATCGCGAGAAATGAAGATTCCCGCTAGGACTCTGTCGCGTATTATAAAACAAGACCTGAAGCTCGGTGCTTATCGTCGATATACAGGACATGCCCGAAATCAATCTTTACAATTAAATAGAGTGGATCCATCAAAACGCCTTCTGTCGCGATACGCAGGTAAACAGAACAGATATATACTCTTTACCGATGAAAAAAATTCACGATTGAAGAATACTACAATAAGCATAATGATAACGTGTACGCTCACAGTTCTAAAGAAGCTGCTGAAGTGGTCGAAAAAGTACAACGTGGTCATCATCCTGTGTTAGTGATGGTTTGGTGAGGCGTGTCTTATCAAGGAGTCACAAAACTACATTATTGTGAAAAAGGAGTTAAAACTTCAGCCAAAGTGTATCGAGATACAGTCTTGGATCATGTTGTGAAACCTGTCAGCAATATACTTTTTAAAAATATACCGTAGACTTTCCAGCAGGATTCTGCAAATGGTCACAAGGCACGAACTACCCAAGCCGGGCTTGAAACCAACGTTACGGACTTTATAAGAGCTGAAGCCTGGCCCTCATCTATCCCAGACCTCAACCCTTTAGATTTCAAATTGTACTCAGTTTAAGAGGACATGGAATGATCTAAACTACACGACGACATTGAGTCTCTTAAAAAAATCTTTGGAGCAAGCAGTGGCGAAATTTCGCTTGGAAACAGTGCGCAAATCAATAGATTCGTGGTCAAACAGATTAAAGGCCTGTATTAAAGCCAAAGGTGGCCATTTCGAATAGATATTTTTTTGCTGTGACTTTAATCAATATGTAGCTATAAATTTTAATAATAATACATTACTTCATTAAACAAAATGCATTTTCATTTGTAACAGAACTTATGGCTGGACTAGGTATATTTTTTGGTCTGTTTAGATACTATTCCATAAAAATCAAAATGTTTATTTATTTATTTTGGGTTTTACTGAGTTACTCGGTTTTTACTATAGAATTAATGTAAGTATTTAATAAGAAATTTTCTTATTGACCGTGAATAGAAAAAAGGTGATAAAGTCTAAAATATGTATAGTATCTAAAATATTTTGTTATTATGATTATAAAATAATGTTTGCTATCGCAATTTAAATAAATCCTCATTCGAGGCTAGTTGAGGAGCTCGATGGCGCAACTGGTTAGCGCGTTCGGCTGCGATCGTTGAAGTTAAGCAACTTTCGCAGTGGTCGGTCATTGGATGGGTGACCAAAAATTTACTATCTCGAGCTCCTCCGTGCTTCGGAAGGCACGTTAAGCCGTTGGTCCCGGTTGCATCTGCAGTTGTTAGCACCCACCAATCCGCACTGGGCTCGCGTGGTGAGTCATGGCCCAATCTCCCTATACCATCCATGGAGAAGGCCTGTGCCCCAGCAGTGGGGACATTAATAGGCTGATGATGATGATGATGACTTACTTTTGTCGTTGTGAAAAGCTTCTAATGTAACTGCGTTTCCGATAAAGCAATGTGTCTGAATTCGTATTAAATTCCATAAGGTAGGGAACATTTAAGTGACAAGTCTGGATAAAAAAATACAAGTCTGCGATTCTCTTATTCACAGTATTGATGTCATTTAAATATCAAAGATTACTTACAATAAAATGTTTATTTTAGTTCTTTCCATTGAGTTGTATATATATACACATAGAAATCCAAGTAAGTATCATGTATGTGTAGGTATGTGTAGTTATTATCTCTATCGGTTTATAGATAACGGATCTACTTATTCTTGTTTAAAAAATGCAGGAACATTACTTATATTTAACCAAATATTTACAAATTTTATTCTTAGTCTTAGGCAAGGAAATGTACAAATGAAAGCTTATATACTATCTTTTTTAACTTTCAAGAATGACTCCTAAAGATGTTATATTTTCTACTGTAAAGAGTAATAAAAATGTCACTATAATTTTTATGTTTTAATAAATATAAACAAACAAAACTCTAAAATAACACTATATAAACTTAGTTCTTACTCAAATAAATTTAACTCCAGCTAGCCTTGATCATATCTGCCGCCTTTTCACCAATCATAATGGCAGGTGCATTAGTGTGCACCGAAACTGTTCGTGGGATGACACTGGAATCTACGACTCGTAGCCGTTGAACTCCGTGCACTCGCAGTTCCGGATCCACCACGGCTAGTGGATCGGTATCAGGTCCCATACGACAGGTCGCGATCTGGTGATGCAAAGTCGCAGAAAGAGTCCTTACGGCACACTCCCAATAAACATCAGAATCAAATATCAACCCACGGCAAGCAGGATATTGGGCCTCGTGAATACGCGCTCCAAATATCCGGAATGGTTCCGTCTCAGCTAACGCTTGTATAAAACGTATTGCTTCTATAAAAGTGGCAACATCTCTTCTGTCAGTCAAGTAGTTCCCATACATCTTTGGATAACTGAAAGGATTGTTATTCCTTAACTCTAAACGCCCAACAGATTTAGGATGAAGTAACATAGGAAAAGCGGTCCAAGTATCCGTTGCGTCAATTGAGCCATATGCTCTATCAAATATATCGTTAGTTATCATCATCCCTCTTCTAACGGCCTTACTTCCACCTGGACCGCCATCAGATACGATAGAACCGCCTATGCTGATTAGTTCTATATCTGGTACAGGTTCAGGATCATCGGAGACAGCAGTTTTGATGTATCCTATCCCTTCTGCCGCACCAGTAGTCGAAGCTGGACCATCACCAAACTGAATCCATCGAATCACATTGGAAAAAGTCGTTTCCCGAGTCTCTATTAAGCTGACGTTGGTAACATTGAGTGTGAATACCAATCCAGGGAATGTTATGTGGTCATAGAGGGTACGTCCTACTGGAAGATCTTGTACCAAAGGAATACTATGACGGCTAAGGTGCTTTTTTGGGCCGATCCCTGACAGCATAAGTAATTGAGGTGATGCTATGGGTCCAGCAGATAAAATAACCTCTCTTCGAGCTTTGACTTCCATTCTTAAACGCTGGCGAACATATTGTACTCCAGTTGCTGTTTTTGTCTTGCTATCGATGAGGACTTTGGTGACTATACTCATCGGAAGTATATGAAGGTTGGGGCGGTCTTTATTATTATGTAAAAATGCTTTTGCCGAACTGACCCTTTTACCCGATTTCATGGTAGCTTGCAAATAACCAAATCCGAGTTGTTCAGGAGAGTTATAATCTAATGTAGGGTATCCAAGTAATCGCCCGGCTTCTAAAAATGTGCTGATCAGTGGTGTTCTGTAATTAAGAAAAAGTGTTGTGACTTTAAATGATTTCATCAATTAAATGAGAAAACAATTATGTATTAAAATTTATTATTACCTGAAAGGTACGAATTCTACGTTCATTTCTCCTTTTAATCCTCTATACGGAGAGTTTTCTAGGCCTGGTAGGTCGGCGCGTTCTGACTTTTTGTAATATTCTAACACTTCTCTGTAGGACCTACAAGCCGAGAAGATGATTTAAATTATAATAATACATGAAACCCATTCCAGCAAAAGACGAGTTGATGTATCAGTTCTGTTGAACTGCAGTGTGAGAACGTTCGTACATCAGCGTTGCTAGAACGTTACTTTTGACTCTGTGGCGTTACCTCCGCATTATTTTTTAATTGAAAGAAAATATAAAAAAAAAATTACTATATTTATCTGAAAATTATAAGTGATTTCTTTTATGATCTTGGCTCTTTTTGCTATCAATGTAAGGAGGACACTCGTAGGTCGTAAACGCTAGGTTCGATACTGGCAACGCTATGAGCGTTCGTAAGAAGCCCGGCCCATTCGTCATGGCGTTACTTTTTACTCAAAAATGTTACTTTGGTAAATCTTTACTATAGCTATTACTTATTTAAAGTCAATGTATAAAGAAATAAGGAATGGCGATATAATACTTGAAACAATAGATAGGTAGTTCGTAATTGGTATTAATTTTTTTTATTTTCTACCAATATGGTGCTCCACATTTTTGGTAGGTATGAATATATGCATATAATTCTGATAAACATTAATTTGGGCTTATGTATTTTGCTAAAACATTCAGATATAAATTATTATCTATCTTAATCATCAAAATTTTATAGTTCTCAAAACGTCTTTGAATGGGTCTCTTTGACTGCTATCTAGACAAATAAATGCAATTTACTCTGCTGACATTCGTTTTATTTTAAGAGAAAAATGTCTGTGGTATTTACCATCCATAGTTGCCTGCGGCAGCAATGCGGTCCCATTCTTCAGGCCGTCCTCTGGTGTAGATCATGTAGTTAATAACACTCGTGCCACCGACCGCTCTGCCCCGTGGCCAGTAGCACCTTTGGTTTCTCATTCCTTAAAATAAGAAGTTTTCTGAATAATTTGGTTGTGTTGTTGAAAGCTTGGTTATTCTATATTGATGATGATGACCGTGGAAAAATGAGGGTGGATTCACCTAAAAAATATAATTAATATGCTCACTTTTCACTGTTCAGTGACGTAAAATTGAAATTAAGGGGATGACGGCATAAGGGCTCAGTCCTATAGACGCGTTTTTATCGGTCGGTAATATCGTATGCGAAATTGCGATAATGCGCCCTACTTTATTATCGCAGCAGTGTGTAACTTCGTAGCCGTTCTTATACATAATGTACTAAAACAGATATCGCAATAACGCATCGAATATTAACGGCGCCCTTCATTCTTAGCAATCAAAATAAGTGTTGGTTAGTCAGAAAAATTGAGTGTCAGCCTACCGCCAACTTAAAACAGGTTATCGAAGCGGGAGTGCAAGCGAAATACGAGTAGCTGTAGCTGTTTGTTACCGTTTATTTGTTTATATTTAACTAATTCAGATATTATTTGTAGTGATGTAGGTAATATCAATCTGCCACTATTGTTCCGGAACTACAATTTGAACCTAATGTTAAAATTGGTGTTGGTTGAAGGGAGGTTACGGGTGTGTGTGATCTTGAATTTATGTTTTGGCAATGTCTTCTTTTTTACTGAAGCACCCTGTAATCGACATGAAGAATACATTTCTTTGCATCGATATATTGAGGAACAGTAACAAACTACCAAACTTTTTGTAGTTATGTGAAGAGAAAAAACTGAGTTCAATCAACTTAACGATTACGAAGGTTAAGGTTTCATGATAAAATAGAGGTCCCCTGCCTCTTATATGATGTCCCGCGCTTTTTTATCAACCGACGAAAAAAAAACGGAGGAGGTTATAGTCGACGCGTATATTTTTTTTATATATGATCACGCATATTTTTTTACAGAGTTTAGTGATTTTGATAATTTTATTTTCATTGGACAGGGTATACTCCGAAGTTGGTCACATATAAATTACGAAAAAAAAATTTTTTAGGGCAGCTCCCCTACATGTAAATTGGGGGTATCGTTGAATAGGTCTTTTGTCGACTTGGTCGGTTTTTATTGGATTAGGGTATATCTCAAAGTTGGTCCTAGATAAATTTGGAAACATACATCCTACCTTAAGGGTGGCGAAATAGTGGATTTTTCATTCACAAATTTAGATGCCGAGTTGAATATTACAAAAATTAACGCCACAATAAATAATAAATAAAAACTTTCTAGCAATAAATTAAAACCGCCAAAAAAAGCAAATATAATAAACCTTTTTTACCTGTAGTCTTAAAAGGTTTTAGAACTATTCCTAAAGCGCTTATTCCACCTGTCTCAAATCAAATCAAACGTTCTAATTAGAACGCTATTTAAGAAGGTGTAATAGCGTTTTTAGATGCTCGAGTCGCACCGCAGGTGTCACTGCGTGAGGACATGTTGTCTACGATTACGAATTACGCGAGTGTGCGATGTCGGCGGTAAAAGAAAAAGAAGTGAGTAACATAATCGAATTGTATAAACATATGCCGTATATTTGGAATAAAAACGATAAAAATAACACTAATAATATTAATATTCTTTCACCCACGTTTTTCGTTTTTTACTTTATTTTATTTTACGGCTAGGCCTACGAGAAGACAGATTTTTTGTTGCTTTGACAGGACTGGAGCCTTTACGAAAAACTGAACTGAATTCACCGCGCGCTTGTAACTGACTGAATCAGTAACTAAATTAGTCAAGTGTAATCAGAAGCTTCTAATTAGTATTCTTTTTAGGATCCTAACTAGGACGTCTGAATTTAGTCAGGTGGAATTAGCGCTTAAGAGGAAAAATTCCGTTAAACATGATTTTTGTGTAACTTTAACCGTTTACCCAACAGAAGCTCAAAAAATTGAATATTACTACCCGTTTTAGCAACATTTTTCATCGATGCTCCGCTCCTACTGGTCGTAGCGAGATGTTATATAGCCTAAAGCCTTCCACAATAAATGCACTATTCAACAGAAAATCAATTTTTCAAATTGGACCATCATGTTCTGAGATTAGCTGGTTCAATCAAACAAACAAATTCTTCAGCTTCTTTATAATATTAGTAGAGATGATTGACTTAAGCTTCTTTATAATATTATGGAGTTCTTAACGGCCTTTTTATACGTTCGTTGATCTCTCTGCTCCAAAAAATCTTTTACATAACTAATTGCCAACAAAAAATACCGACGCATGTGTGTTTTAACCTATATTAATGCTAAATTAGTAAAAATATGCGAGCGATATAACAAGTTAGTGCTATTATTAAACTGTGCCCGGTCATAATATTTATACCTTAACCTTGGTTTGTACCGAAAAAAATAATGTCCATGTTATCTTGCGCTTTGATGATGGAAAAACTGGTGTCCCTACTTTGCTTTGTTTTTTCTTCGTTTATTATTTATTAGTTTATTGATAAGGTACTTAAATAAATAAATATTTTTAAAAATTTTGATAATGAATGGAACTTGACCACTTAGAATGTTTTCAAGTATTGATGTCATCTTTCAGTTGACGACTCGGTATGAAATAAAACAGGGAGAAAATAATAGCCCTTGCTGAGTTATTTGCTTTTAACAACCTAGATTGAATAAATTATTTTGAATTTTTATAATGCTTGCTTTTAAAAGTGATTTTAATATCACATTTTATAAGCAGTCCCAATTTTTAAAAGTAAAAAATGTATATGTGCTTATTTGCTGGCTTGACTCCTACGCATGTGTGTTTGCAATATTAATTCTAAATAAGTAAAAATATGCGAGCAATATAACAAGTTAGTGCTATAATTAAACTGTGCCCGGTCATAATATTTATGCTTTTTTATAAAGTTGCCATCTTTTATATAACCTTGGTTTGTATCTAAAAAAATAATGTCCATGTTGATTTGATGATTGTAAAACTGTTGTTCTTACTTTGCTTTGTCATCCTATTAATTATTTGTTTAGTTGGAATCTAAAAAATCTTGATTCTTTTTTTTAATATATCCACGAAAACACATAAAATTGAAAACAGATACTTGATAATTTTATTTGATACCTACTTATATGTTGACGCTGATTATTAAATAAGTTTTCCACCCCGTTTTCTAATAATACTTTAGCAAACCCAAATTTGTTATAAACACGTATAAAATTCTTGTCATAAATACTTAAGCTCTACCCTAAATAGGTACAAAATCCTTTGTTCTCTTGTTTTGCAAGTATAGTTTAGTTTTGTAGTTATTCGGGAAGTAAAACTCCCTTTTTATGATGATTTACAAGTAGCCTTACCTAAACAGACTCCTGGTTGAGGTTCCATGAAGTAGGGCCAGCTGTACTCGGTTCTTTGGAAGAACGGTGCGATGGCCGGCACGTCAGTAATCAGCATCTCCGGCTTCCCAGCCTCCAGTAGCAGTACGGTCACGCTAGGGTCCTCACTCAGCCTGGAAGCCAGTACACTGCCAGCAGACCCAGCCCCCACTATAACGTAGTCGTATTCCGAAAATGGCGCCGTCAAGCCTGCAAACAAGCACATATACATTTCTTATTTTTAAAAATTGTGTCTGCTTATAAAATGTGATATTAAAATCAATTTTAATAGCAAGCATTGTTAAAAGTCAAAATCATTATATTTTGTCTTTATTCTATCTAGGTTGTTAAAAGCAAACAACTCAGCAAGGGATATTTTTTCCCCTGTTTTAATTTAATTACCTAATCAAAAAGGGCAACTTAAACAATTATTAACCAAAAAAAAACTAGTATTTTAAAATTAAGCCTAAGGTGCAGGTGGTGGTTGCTTTGTCATTTCTGTAATATTTTAACTCCTTGTTAATAAACGAAGAATAAGCTTGGATTCGTTACTCCATGTTTTGTCTCTGTTCATTGAATGTTAAAAAGCATTTAAGTGACATAAACAAAACACGGCGTAACTAGTCTAACCTTATTCCTTATGTATTAATAAGGGGTTACAGTATTATTAAGCATTATTAACGACTTCTTGCCTTGATATCGACGGCTCGGTGCAAGTTCAATGTTAGTAGCATAATGCTACGCAGGAAAAACTTCTATATTTATTTAATCACAGTCTAGAAGTAGTGGGTGGGTAGGAATTTAAGTCGAGAGATAAGGGAGAGAATTGAATGACTGATCTGTAAACATTTAGGTATTTATTACAAACAAATAAGTTATTTTGGTTAGTTCGCTTTGTAAAAATAAACTTTTTGAAAAGCACGTGAAAGTTGGGAAAGTTGTAAATCAGTGTTAAAGAAGGAAGGAATTGATATTGGGGTTTGAATAACGTTTTCAATTTTGTTTATAACCGAACTCAGAAGCGACCCGGTCTTTTACCGGTTCGGATTTGGTGAAGCTTCGTGGAGGCAGAGACCGTCTCTTATGGTATAGCTTTCGGCAACTACTTGCATTATTATAATTAAAACTACTCAATCAAGTATAACCATAATTTTATGGTAATATCGTCAATGTTAATGATGGCATTGACATGGGTAAATATGCGGTAGTAAGACAACATGGAGACCAGTAATAGAAACTGGAACTATTAGTTGCTTGCATTGGCGATACGTAACAAACAGCTGTTAAAATAATGTCCCTTGTGAAGAATATGGAACGGCTTATCCACAGATTATTTCAATGCTCTCAGTTCATTAACCGCATCGGACCATAAAAAAATAAGATAAGTCTGAGTTATGTAATAGTATAAGAACATTTTATCATCAAGTATCTTGAACTAAATTAAAATAATTTAGGTCTTAATTTGAATTAGTTTCTAAAGAATAATAACAACAACAATCATCTCATTACCTCTGTAACACGCATCGACTAATAGGCCAGGGCCGATAATTTTTGAGAGCAAATAAATTCGGAACAGAATGAAACCCATACCAAAAGAGAACACAAAAAATAGGAAAAATAATTTAAGGACGATTTGATGTCGGCAAGGGTGGAGAAAGGCGTGAAGTTTTAAGGGGGGGAAACTGTATATTGCGATTTTGGGGGAAAAACTACAACTCCTATCGAAAAAAATATAGGTTTCCCTAAAATACAAAAAAAACCCGTTTTCCCTCTTTAAAAACTCACCCCCTACCCTACCCGACCTCAAATCGCCCACCCTACCCGACCTCAAATCACCCACCCTACCCGACCTCAAATATTTTTTCTCTATTTTTAAGTGTTCACTTCCTTTTGGTATAGGTTTCATCCTGTTCTGATGTTCTAAACTAAGTAACTTTTTACAATTTTCAGAGGCATCCACCCTTGCCAAGCAAAGTATATTTGGTAAACGATTTATTTATAAGGTGCCGTTCGCTTACATTCAGATCTGTCAAGAGGTGAAAATGTAGTGACTAAATTGTTCGTCTTATGAATAAAAAAGGTATTTGTTTCACTATCCACTTACCATTTGGTAAAGGGTAGCTATCTCTTAATGAATCGAATAGGTCAGCAGGGTTCCGGGGCATGTAGTTTGGTGCCATAGTCTGCATCATGATATCCAGCAGTGGACTTTGAAGAAATGACTGCCGACTCCCATTCTTTTGACATTCCACTCTTGTATTAATGAGGTAAAAAATTAAGAATAAAACTAATTTTTTTGGTAACATATTTTCATAACCTGTAAAATAGTTTTATATTTAACAACTAAAGTAATGAAAGGTATAATTAACTGCTAAAGTTTTAAGTGTCAACTTAACGCCATGTTATTAAGAATATAATATCATGTATTTGGCAATAAAGAATATATAAATGCTCACCGGTATTCTCCATTTAAATCATGAGTTTTGGAATTAAGCTATTATTTAATAATACTTAAAACGTTGCATTTAAACATTTGTGCACTATTATTAATGTTTTTTTTTATTGATTTATGATCACATTTATTTTGTCATTTTTTCATTCACTTAGTGGTAACTTGTATATTAAACGCACTATAACGCCGCACAGAGTCAACTGCACTATAATTCCGTTGTGCATACATATTCTTGCTTGATACAACTCTGTTTCGTCATAGTATTAAGTTCGTTCGCTGCTAGCTTTACTTATTGGGAAACACGAAAAAATAAAATAAACTACCATGTTCACTTTATAAATATGTATTGTTAGGTAACAAGTAAGTACCAATATACGGTAAACTCTCTGATTAAACCAATTATTTAGTACTTTTTCGTGCCGGTAAACGTCACCTAATTTTATAAATATATTTTTAATAATATCGTTATTTTTGTTGAGAATATTTCGGCCAGTAACTTGTTTTATTAAGAAGTTCGTTTGATATTCAAGTTTCATCTTACATTAGAATGCTAAAAATAGAACGTGTTTAGTGCCTTTTGGGAATCTACTACTAAATTTTATTTTGAATAAGCCAATATAAGCCAGGCTAATTTTCCAAAATACTTCGACAGTACCCCAATACATGAGCGGTCAAAAACTTACATGTGGCTTTTCCAAAGTATGTTTGGAAATGTTTGAAACTTTTGTAAAGTTTGCGCACTTGTAAGCCTAGCAAGTCCTTGTAAAGTCAGTAATATCGATATATCTCAGGATATACCTTTATCACCACTTAACATCAGGTGGGGTAGAGTCATTTGCCTACCTAGCTATAAAAAAACAATTTTAAAATTTGTAATTACTCGTTACCGTGAATAAGGGTGTAATTTTTAGTATAATGACGACCCTTAGCTAGATTTTACTTACAAATTGCGTAAGATATTGTTATGTAATATTCCGATCAAATTAAACAAAAAAATAAGAGTGACGGTACAAACATTTATATAAAGCTAGAGGTGAGTAAAATTTTTCAAAACTTAATTAAAAATAACATTAAAAATTACCCATCGCTCCGATACTTTGAAAAAAAAAACGCGGCCAAAGGTCAGAAAAGTGGGGTTATTGCGATTTTCGTCAAAACGGTAAGTTTTATCGTAAAATTACCTCAGGCAAAAATTGTAGATCATAAAATGATCTATAAAAAAGTGTCAATATTTTTTTCCTAAGAGCCACCGTTCCTGAGTTGTAAGCGTCATAAGATGCATAAGTACGTCACGTATATACATCTATGTAGCTGTAATATAAGCAAAACTATTTTTATTTCGGTGATTATAATACCATTTGTCTTCGATACTCATACTGGTTGACTGGTAGAGAATGCCTATGGCATCAAGTCTGCCGTGTCTTATGTTTGGCTATAAAGTCTAAATAAATAAAAATTGTAACTTACATTGAAAATATAAAATAAACATAAGTTTGAAAAATGTGCCGAGTTTTAAAAAAAAGTAATTCAACTCCACAAGAAATGATCACCAACGGAATTCGCTTTCTTCTTACTGTGAACGGAGCTCCAAAAAAACTACCAGCTCTTATCAAAGCTGCTCTTATCGATATGCATGTTTTGTTCACAACAATCGAAATAAGAAACAAGTGGAATTAGCTTGTCCTCCTCCAATCTCAGTTACTACTCATCAACGTCTTTTTCAGGTATGTATATTACCAAGTTCAAGTGTGGCTTGGTTATCAGCTAGACCCAAAAGACTGGGGTTGGAAGGCGGTCGACAATACATTAGAACCACCAGTTTTTTTTTAATTTCCGTCGCTTTATCAATTTCCAACCCTTGCTTATATTTGCTATTGTGCAATAGTTTCCAATTAAACAGAAACACAATAGAACCGGGGAATAAGCCTACTGGGAATATCACGTTAAAAAAAAACGCGCTCAGTACACTGTCTCAGAGGCAGCGTGGAAACGTGTGCATATTATGACGCTTACAACTTTAAATCGCTATATCTCAGGAACGGTGGCTCTTAGGAAAAAAAATATATTTATTCATTTTTTATAGATAATTTTATGATTTAAAATTTTTGTCAAAGGTAATTTTACGATAAAACTTACTATTTTTAAAGAAAATAGCGAAAAACCTTTTCTTTTACATTTGACCTCGAGTAAATTGTTTTTCCCTGTACCGGAAGGATGGAGAATTTTGATATGTTAATATATGTGTGTTTTGAACAATTTTACTCACTTCCAGCTTCATGTAAATTTATCTACCTTGGAATGTCTAGATTGACCGGACTATAAATACTTTTTTTTTAGTTTAGTTTCATTCATATGTAATGCAAAACAATAATACCCGTAATGTGATGAGATAGTTTACGATTTCACGCTCAATATTTTATAAAAGTTAATGCATTTTTGGATTGATATAAAATTTTGTGAAGTCTGAAATCTCGTGCTCCACATTTGCTCTTGCACAAACAAACATTAACAATATTCCTTTCTCTGGGCCTCTGGGTTTGCTTTCCAGCGATACACACTTCAAGGTTACAAATGTAGTAGGTCGGTCAATCAACTGACCATACTATTATTAAAATAGATACTTAATGGTTACCTGTTATTCAGATGTATTGAGGGCATAACAAATTTTCCGTTCGAATTGGAGCGTAGGAAGACAAAATCACGACCTTTTTAAATGACAACAGTCAAATGACACTGGCTTTTGATGGTGTAGGGTTTTTATACTCATATTAAATTAAAAAATCTTCAGACTGTTGGGCCGGACCTTTTTTATGCTAAGTTAACACGCGCCCATTCATAAAGCATCTATAGCTTCGCACCTCGCGGCCATAGGTAGTACTTATGTAGATGAGTTCTAGCTTCCAATATTGTTGTTGAGATCGTGAAAGTGTCTAAATTCTAGTTATGATGTCTTAATGCTAGTGCTAGCATTTGCTATAATATAGAAAGGGTAGCATTTGGTCATGGGCTGACTCCGCAATCTGTTATCGTTGAGCAAGGCGACCGCCTTGGACATGTAGCCATCTTTCTATTCGGTCGACATTATACATTAAAATTGATTAAAAAAAATACTTTAAATGTATGTATTGCAAGCTTGTTGGTTTTATAAGTGTTCGAATAGCATACGCGACTTGTAATTTTAAGCAAAAAATGATTATGCTTCAACTTTAAAAACTAGCGTTATCGTTCAAACGAATAGAAGAAAGTCACTTGTCTAGGCCCGCTCGTCTATTAATTGCTATTGTTTTAAATGTTAATAATAACTAACACATAATCAACCACATTACTAACTTTGTGTGTGTGTGTGTGTAATAGAAGTGTGTCTGACTAGACATTTACTAATATGACTATTTTATTTATGTTATTTTAATCATGTTTGTTTATTGAGCTTCTGCCTACACATTTTTTTTACGTCAAACGATTTGTAAATAGTTTACAAATTCAGTGTAAAATTCAAAGTAATAATAGAATATACTCTGCGTACTATCTTCCTTCATAAATTTAAACACATATTGGTGTCGATTCTGACGTGATACTCTAAACTTAAAACTAAATTTAACATCAGTCTTTCCCTTTCATTCTGTATAGAGAATGACAAAGATGCACTGTTGTCAAATTTAAGTTTAGCTTTAGAGAATCATGTCAGAATCGACGTCATTAGCTGGCATACTAGTACACCTTTCATTTTGCGTAATATTCTTTTATTAGTTTGCGATTTTATTCATCACTCCACTGTTCATAACATAAAAAAGCTTATTTAAATATTTATCATCGTTTAATTAAGTATTTGTTAATTCTTGTGTTCTTGTTGGTTTTCAATGCCCTCTATATTTACTTTATACTGTTATATTTTAATAGTCATAAACGTAACTACGCACGCAATATTTCGCCATTCGTAAAGAAATACCTATAAACCGTGACACAAAAAAATAACAAATTAAAATCTTCTTAAACGCGTTACTGGACAAGTGTTTGACTATTCTGCATGTCTAGTATCGCAGAACTTTATTTAATGTCATGTTTTAAACTGCCATGGTCACTAGAGTCTCTGCGGAAAGATAATGGGCTTGGCGAAAAAACGGAATTAACATTAAGATTTTTATTTGGCAACCAAACCCAGCAATCTGTAAAACGTCAAAGTTTTGTATTGATACGAATTGTTTGTTGTTGTGATTTCTTGCGATTCTTTGTATTTAATCATGTCTAAAAGGGGTAAAACCTTACAAATACGGTAGAAAAGCACTACAGCGCCCTCCAATCTAAATCCCATTCTCTTTCCGCACAGACTCTAACATTATTTATAGTAATTTATGTTATTTACGGGTAATTGTTACCATGCACCTTATTTTTAGTGAGTTTCCGATATTTCGGCACTGTTGCAGGCGCTATGAGTAAGAGTAATAAGAGCAATATCGGAAACTCGCTGAAAACAAGGTTCATCGTAACAATCCCGTAAATAACAAATTTCCATAAATGTTACTAATGGTAGCCATACACACTACGAGAAATCGTTACGATTAGACTGTACCGTCCGAACGGTACCGATAAATCGTAGCGTGTATGTTATAAAACTGCACAGTTTCCTATACGTACGCCACGTACGATAAACTGTTCCGTTCGAACTGTACAGTCTGATCGTAACAATTTCTCGTAGTGTGTATAGCTACCATAAATAAAAATAAGAGTAAACGAGGAGCTCGATGGCGCAAGTGGTTAGCACTTTCGGCTGCGATCGTTGAAGTTGAGCAACTTTCGCAGTGGTCGGTCATTGGATGGGTGAACAAAAATTTACTATCTCGAGTTCCTCCGTGCTTCGGAAGGCACGTTAAGCCGTTGGTCCCGGTTGCATCTGCAGTTGTTAGCACCCACCAATCCGCACTGGGCTCGCGTGGTGAGTCATGGCCCAATCTCCCTATACCATCCATGGAGAAGGCCTGTGCCCCAGCAGTGGGGACATTAATAGGCTGATGATGATGATGATGACTTACTTTTGTCGTTGTGAAAAGCTTCTAATGTAACTGCGTTTCCGATAAAGCAATGTGTCTGAATTCGTATTAAATTCCATAAGGTAGGGAACATTTAAGTGACAAGTCTGGATAAAAAAATACAAGTCTGCGATTCTCTTATTCACAGTATTGATGTCATTTAAATATCAAAGATTACTTACAATAAAATGTTTATTTTAGTTCTTTCCATTGAGTTGTATATATATACACATAGAAATCCAAGTAAGTATCATGTATGTGTAGGTATGTGTAGTTATTATCTCTATCGGTTTATAGATAACGGATCTACTTATTCTTGTTTAAAAAATGCAGGAACATTACTTATATTTAACCAAATATTTACAAATTTTATTCTTAGTCTTAGGCAAGGAAATGTACAAATGAAAGCTTATATACTATCTTTTTTAACTTTCAAGAATGACTCCTAAAGATGTTATATTTTCTACTGTAAAGAGTAATAAAAATGTCACTATAATTTTTATGTTTTAATAAATATAAACAAACAAAACTCTAAAATAACACTATATAAACTTAGTTCTTACTCAAATAAATTTAACTCCAGCTAGCCTTGATCATATCTGCCGCCTTTTCACCAATCATAATGGCAGGTGCATTAGTGTGCACCGAAACTGTTCGTGGGATGACACTGGAATCTACGACTCGTAGCCGTTGAACTCCGTGCACTCGCAGTTCCGGATCCACCACGGCTAGTGGATCGGTATCAGGTCCCATACGACAGGTCGCGATCTGGTGATGCAAAGTCGCAGAAAGAGTCCTTACGGCACACTCC